AACAAAAAAAAAATGTATAATATTCGTTTTAAAGCATGAAAAAGGAAAAGCAAAATCATATCTTAGGTTTTTGAAGTAATCTTGTTTTCCCAGACTCATCATATTATTTTAAAGAAATAAAGAAAAGAACTTTTTATGTTAGGTGTAAATAGATTTAAAATATCATCAAACTGCTAATAAGAACAACCAAAATCCACCGAATTTGTATGCCAATTTACATTTTTTAGGACCACATTAACCAAATTACGCCAGGCAAATTTCATCAAAGAAAATCCCTGGGTTCAGATGGAAAAAGCATTTATTGCTCGTGGATTGTCATTCCCCAATTGCCAACTAACAAACGGATGTGGTTGTGACTATGATAAATAAATCAAATTCCCACCGGCCTTGACCTTAGCCTAAGCCGCAACCTCTTCTCATAATCATAATTTCTGTTTTCATGGCATTGATTTTTCCACTAAGAACAATCTGGAACAAAATTTTTTAGGAGGCCTATTAATCAAAAAATATATATAGAGGGTAAAATAATAATTTAAAAAACCCATTAAATTTTAGGGAATTTTCAAACCGGACCTAAAGGAGTTTTGTCCTTAATTGTTAACCCATGAGGACATATGTTGTGATGTCTGTCTTGATAAATTTTGTTGTGTGTAAGAGTTAGATTACTCCACGTACCCCTATTAATATATATTTCATTTTGATTATGAAAAAAAAAACTCTTAAATAGATCAAAGGAATCGACCATCAAAACCAACTCCTTTCAATCATTCCAACTTCTTGTTTAAAAACCTAATTCGTTATTTATTTCCACTAATCTTTTCGGCACTTTGAGTAAAGGAACATGATCAATCTTTATCTAATATATGCGTTTGGTTATTTATAATTTAATTATAACTTTATAAGCAAGTGGAACACAACCAACAATGTTGGATACAGTTAATAGCTTAATGCCATATTATATTATTGAAAACGACGTTGAGTTGATTAGTAATTTGCCCAAACAAGTAGATTAGTCCATACATCGCGGTCAGTGCGTTTAATCTTGCCCACAACTAAGGGGGTTTGCAGTGTGGTTTGATTTATATTTTATTATTTTATAAATTAACTTAATTTAATCAATTAATAAAATTTTTAAATTAATTCAATCTATTATTATGTGATAA